GCTGAAGAGAGAGGTTATGAAAAGTGTTATTGGTGAGCGAGAGGTCCAGTGAGTACGACGTGTTGAGCAAAGCTTCGTATGCCAGTTTGTCCAATCTTTGCGAGGTCGTTTATGGGACATGTGGCTGAGCGCCACCATGAAGGAGGGTTGTTTCATTTCTCTCGGTTGACGAAGTTGGTGTTTCTAGAGCATCTCATCGGTATGCTGGAGAGACATTGGTGTTGTGTCAAATTCACCTGGTTCCCAAGAGGTGTGGTGCATCAGTCCCGTGGGAGACCGCCGAATGTTCAGCTCAACATTGACCTACTACAATTTCGGCTTTAGATAACTTTTTGAAGATTCATCGCGGTCCAGCTTGTGAAGGGATGGCTTGCTATATTCGTGAACAGTCCATTTTCCATTTTAGATTGCAATGCTTTCCTAATATTCGTGGTTTTCGTTACGTAAAATGGGTGGAAACGACACCTTAGGAATACGGTTTTGCTGCTGCATCGGGTAGCCAATGCGGTAGCCATCTGTTCAGCTTTTCACCTCCCCAATTATCTTCATGAGACACAATCTTTTCAATATACTTACTCCCAGTCCTACTGCTAACTATAGTGCAGTTGGTCCGAAACCATCTTCTACGGGAACCTTTAGAAGGCCGTCGTTAACAGCGGAATCATGCTCATGACTCCCCTCACCTTCACGATGGAATTCATTGAGACCAAAATGTTGGAGCCGATGTTGTGCTGTGCTTTTATTAGGTGCTTCCTTGGCCCCATCCTTCAGTGTTATTTCGACTGGTCTACGAAGCACTACCTCAGAGTTTCAGCACATCGAAGTAAACTTGCCAAAATCGCTGTCTTGACACCTTTATTTCAAATCTATAAAAACCCCGAAATAGCAAGCCATATTGAAATTCAAATACACTGAAGGAAAGAAGATACAATAGGCTTGCCAATGATATATAGGGCTTCAGGTCTCGAATGAAATATCAGTATAAAAATATTTCATGAATGCATGGCATCTCGAAACCCGCATTACTTCCCGAACGACCTAATATTTTCTCTTAGAACAAACCTGAACATCCCCAAATAATGCACGTTGAGCATGGAGTAGTAGAACAGAACAAACTTTCATCTCATCTATGACAGTGTTCTTGGCTCATGCCCTGCTTAGTTTCCTTTTTCCCCCTTCTTTTTCGAACCCTTTGAGTCGTGCTCTCCCTCTCCCTATGCCAACTGTGCATCTTGGCGGTGTTGCTGGGCCTGCTAAGTAAGATGGTATCCGGAGCATTTTGATGTTGGGCGTGACACTTGAGGTGAGGTTCACTGGGACAGAAAGCGGCTTTTTCGCGTTTGCGCGCGAAACATTTTTCGCTGCAGGAACTCTGCTGATCAGCGATGGACCTGAGTTCCTACAGCGAAAAATGTTTCGCGCTGCGAAACGCGAAAAAGTCGCTTTCTGTCCTAAGAACCACACCCGACACTTGCAGTGTTGGAAGCAAGCTCTTCACCATCAAGTTTCCCACTTCCTTGCTCTATATTTCCTGCCTCACTCCATCATTGTAGCGAGTAATAATAAGCCTGAGCTGGTTTTTTTTATTGTATCGGACATTTGCACTAACCAGGAAGGTCTTTCAGGGCGTGCCAAGCTTTTTGAAAACGGTCTTTTGCATGATATAGGGGCACATGCGGGAACCACAGAACCATGGTTCATTTTTCCTGAACGGCCCTCTGAATACCAGAAAAGGGGGTCCCTAGTTCGATTCCTCGTGGTGACAAATTTTTGCATTTCGAGTTGACGTTTCAAAATTCGCGCAAAATGGAGTTAGCATGAATAATTAGTACCATATTCATGATTAGGACCGTCAGTAACCCTTACAAATAGACTTTGATTAAAAACTGGTGAAAAAGGTGTGACACCACAGTGGGGCTGCTTGGTGTCACACCTCTTACACCAATTTTTAAGTCAAAGTCTATTTGTAAGGGTTACTGACGGTCCTAATCATGAATATGGTACTAATTATTCATGCTAACTCCATTTTGCGCGAATTTTGGAACGTCAACTCGAAATGCAAAAATTTGTCACCACGAGGAATCGAACTAGGGACCCCCTTTTTGGTATTCAGAGGGCCGTTCAGGAAAAATGAACCATGGTTCTGTGGTTCCCATGTGCCCCTAATGTCATGCAAGAGA